TTCTATACATATTCTAGTGCAGAATCGTCTGTCGAATCTAATGGCGTATAAATTTTCAGTCTGTGACTGTAACTTTTAGAGATATCGCGGTTTATATAGTCAAAATCTGATAATTGTGGCAATACATCATTAAATTAAAAAAAAAAATGTATATATATATATATATTTCCTCATTTTTTTTCCATAAAATATTTCTCTACATTTGTTCTTTTGATATTCAACCAATAAGAAACACGCAACACAAATTAAATAACATTCCCTCTCGTAAAACTAAGAAATTCAATATTATTGTAGACAATAGCAATCGTAACTTATCGATAAATATGAGTAAAAAAGAAAGAAGAAAAAAATAAAATAAAAAAAATTTTCATAATGTTCCTAATGTTTTATTTTATGACTTATGTCGTAACGTACTTCTAAGAATCAAGGTATATAATCTGCTTCTGTACAAGATATATGATTACTTTGTAGAAATAAAGGATGAAGGAAGAAAGGAGGATGAAGAACAAGGGAGGGAGGAAATTGTAAAAAAAAAATAAAAATTCTATCCATACTTTTACTTTCAAATCGTTTGTGAAATGATAGTCACACATATTAGGTTGTTATACAAATTCTATTTCAATCGAAGAGAATAAAAAGTGTATATAATGTAAATAGAATGGGAACAGATGCTACTTCATCTAAAACTTGTTTCTTTTAAGTTATGCTATTTTAAACTTTATAGCGTATAGAGCATTATGGAAATTAAATATCTTTCTGGAAGATAGTCAAAAATAAAAATATAAAAAAAAACTAAAATAATAATAATAAAAGAAAAAACTATGATCATTTATCTACTCTTAGTTTCAATAATCTGTCAGAAACATTATATTAGTGTTAGTTTCTTGAAAACTCATTCAAAGCAGATGTTTAGTCTGACGCCAAATTTATTTGCATAATGTATGCTTGTTACAATCATTTTTATATTTACATCCTAATGTATCGAAGCAATAGCAAGATTGTCAACTTGGTAAATTGTGTAAAGTTAATTCTTCCAGAGATTTAAGAATTTTTTTTATTTTTTTTTTTTTAAGAGAGAAAGAGAGAAAAGAAAGAAGGATATTTTGTAAATTTCTTGTAAAAATACTAGATTATGTATATTTTTT